GCAGACGCTTTGCTCAGAGTTCTGCAAATAATTGCTTTGAATACCACAGACACTGGGTTTTGGGGTTTTTAACAATCTACTTCTAACAGGGTCATGGCGGCTTAGAAGTCAGGTCATTTAGTTTGAGTGTTTTTTGTTTTCTGTTAAAACACAGAAGATTAAAAAATTCAGAATTTCTCTCTGGCATCATCTTGTTCTGCTGTCTTGATTCTGCAACTGTGTCCATTTGTGGCAGTAATTCTGCCAGGTTAAGGCTATGTTTATGAAAGAAATGAAGAAATTATCTGCTTATGTCAGAGGTTTTTGTATTCAGAATACATCACAAGATGTATTCTATGTGTGACTTGGAAAGACTGTAGCACTCAAGTGTCCCAGACGTCTTATCTGACTTTCAATCCAGTCGTTAAACTTTAAATTAAAGAAAAGACTGTATCACAAGTTTCATGGGATGCCAATGGACCTCATGCCAACAGCTTCCCATGGAAGAGGGGTGACCGGGCTGGCGTCCTGCTGGAGCCAGGCTGACGCCAGAAGCATCAGTCACGTGGAACCCTGGTGCCCAGCACCTCACAGTCACCCACAAGGCCAACGAAGCTGATGGCTGCCAGTGGCAGGGAGGGTCTGGCCGCCATTCGAGAAGGTAAGAAAGTGTACCTGGGTCTTTAGGGTTACTCTTCTCTTGCGACCTCAGCTGTCAGGAAATGGAAACCGTGAGTTCAAACGCAACCCACCGGTCTCCCAACCCTCCTGTAGTGACTGCCTGGTTTCCTCTTACTGCCAGTTACCGTTCTGTCTCCCCCTGGAAGACTGTTTTCCTGCCTAGTCCGGCTGGGTGATCCATTTACTGAGTGACTGAACTTTAACTGGGGTCTAAGAAAAATATTATGTACATGACTCAGTATCAGGCTCTAAATAAGGCGACTGTACTTCTCAGACATTTGGAGTGGTCCTTGTTCTCATCAGAGATAGCTATCCCTAAATCCGAGAACATACTCCTGAGTATTCTGCTAAATCCGACTTGGCGGTCACTGAAGGCCATACCATTCTGGCTTGCAGGTACGGGGGGCTCGCATGACTGGACTTCAAGCCACCTGACACACAGGGTGCCGTTCCTCACAGGAGCTTCTCAGTAGGAAGCGCACAGCCTAGACACAAGGGATGGTTTGGAGCTAAGATCTGTCAAAACAGAAACTGGCCGGGCTGGGTGGTTCAGCGGTCATCCCAGCACTTTGGGAGGCCGAGGCGAGAGGACTGCCTGAGCCCATGGGTTCAAGACCAGCCTGGGCAATATGGCGAGACCTCATCTCCACGATAAATCACAAAAATTAGCTGAGTGTGGTAGTGCGCACCTGTAGTTCCAGCTACTTGGAAGGCTGAGGAGGAAGGATCGCCGGAGCCCAGCAGGTCGGCGCTGGGGTGGTTGTGAGTGTGCCATGGCACTCCAGCCTGGGCAATGGAGTGAGAGTCTGACTCAAAAAACAAAACAAAGCAGAAACAGGTCAATTCCAAGTTCTGCTGATGTAGTTATGCATAGCACACTATGAGTTTTCAGATTTGCTTCACCAAAACAGAGGTGTAAATAATTGATGCTATGACACAAATACAGAAATAAGTCTTTTTCGAAGGCAGGCTTTCAAATCTACTTCTTATTCAAAATCCAGGTCCTACCACTTAAATCTGTGAAAAGTTGTATTGATAAAACAAGTATTCCTAATACAAGTGTTCTGGAGACCACGCGACAGTACTTGGGAGAAATAAGGCCGAAGGCCACTGCGACAGACAGTGTCTGTTTCTCTCACGGTCCCCTGTGCTGTCACACGTAGTCAGGTCGTTAAGGAACGAGACAGATGCAATTCGGCTGGGACCTCCCACTGACGGGAGGGTGCGTGTGAGAACAGCACGCAGAGTTCCAAGACATAGATGCACACTTCAAAGGTTCCAAGCGTCATGCCTGACCCCAAGGAGCAAAACGAACCCTGCGATGACCTGTCAGTGGCTATTGCCATCACTTTTTATTTCCAGCATTCGTTCTACTGGAAGACCATTAAGAAGCCAACACAAAAGTTTCAAATATGATCAATTGTTAAAAACAACGAAGAAGGGTTTAAAGAAAGAATATATTTGAACCACATAAACAAACAAAAAGGTATTACATAAGAAAAAATAATGTAACAATTTATGTAAGTACCTAACATACGAGCATGCTCTTACATCTAAAACAAAAAATAAAAAGGTAACATTGGTACTATATATATATATTTGACAAGTGTGCATTAAAGAATTCTCTAATATAAAACATTTAAAATGTGGAGAATAATTTTTCAAGATACAGAAAACAATTGTTATGATAGGCACACCCACAATCGTATAAAAACATGCTTGCAAAGATCAAATTCATCCGAGTACTTGCTTCTCAGATGTCCAAAGGCTGTGAAATTGTCAATCACTGGACACTGCTTCTCGCTTTCTACTGTTTGAGTTTCAACACCAAATGGTATGCATTCTGAATTATACAATTAATTACCGTTATTTTTCAGTTTGCCAGGTTCCATATAGAATGCATCTATTTAATGTGAATACTTAAAACAGCAACATCATTCGTGTCAAAGTCACTTCTTTATGTTCATTTTTTTTTAAGGCACTATATTTAGAAAATAATTCTTATAACAAGTAGTACTTTGGAAGATCTGAAACTCCAAATCAATGTGCTCCATCAACCCTAACTAGATCTAAAAAGCCCTAACTGAAAAGAACACAAAGGTAAAAAGCTGATAATTTTAAAGATTATAAAATAGGTTTATTGTAAAAGCAATTCAAGAATACCCAGATAAAATCTTATTCCAACGCTACCCAATTACAACCAAGAAGCAGTTAAACACTTTTACATCAGGAATGAGGACATTAACGCGAGAGAGACCACATCAAGGCTATGATTCAAACTCAAAGAGAAAGGATTCTTGGGTCTCCCTCAGGTCAGTACGGAGGGTGGGATAAGATCGAAGCTGTGTGTCAGCATCACAGCGCTGCTACAACACTGAGGTAACACTGGGCAAATTACAGCTCCACATCCTTGTTCTGTGGGTGCACGCAAATGACTGAAATTTCAGGAACAACTGCCTTTAGTGGCAACAAGATGCAAGACAGGTCTTTATTGAAGAGAAAGAGGTTTATCAAGTTCTCTATCAAGGTCCCACTAAATCTTCACAACCCCCACACCTTCCCACCCTCCCCCTAAACTAAAGCCACTCTGCTGATATAGAAGTTGCAATCTCAATTTGTGGCTTACTGGCAAATTACAGACACTCCTTCCGAGTAGCTTTGTTCTTTCCAAGTTAAAAAAAAGAAAAAACAACCAACAACATGCTGTGTCATCCATATACTCATTTCTGCATTCTAGGTAGGATTTCATTACTCTAAAATACCGTCTGCACGGTGGCCATTTCCCTCAGACTTAACTCAAGATTTTCTCTTTCTGCTGTTTTCTTAGCAAAAGCCTTAGAGCCAATTATTACGAGTGATCGACCTATGAAATATTATATACAACACAGTGATTGCTTTTCTTTGAGCACTGAAAGTACTTAAAATAAAACCTTTGTACTCCCCAAGTAGAAGGGCCGAAATACTTAAATCTTGCAACTGAGGAAAAAAAAAAAAATCTGTCTTCCCAACCAAGGCTTTTCATAGTAGCTTTAGCCAGGAAAAGAGATTTTATGTTTGTTGCAAACCCTTGAAAATAAGGGCTTATTCTAGAAAAATGGAAAGACCCTTACATCAGAGGTGCCAGTTGGTGCCACTTTAATTCACAACCAACTATTATTTTATAGCTTATACTGAAGAGTTAATTCATGTGTATTTTGTTCCTTTAAAAAATACTCTTTGGAAACCATGATTACTCCTGTAGACACATACTCTAGCTTTATCTCTTCCTGGGAAAATAAAGGCATCATCATGATTATCTCTATTTCTCTGCTAAACTCAACTATCAATGTACATCTATTAATCTGATCGCTTGACCAACTAACTCATGGCCTTGCCGTGTTCTACATGCTACCCAGTCAACTTTCAGCATAAAAAAGAAGCAGGGGCAAGTCTTGTGAGTAAGAGCAATCCCAGAGGCGATATTTCCATCTAGTCTTTAATGTGTTCATCACAAATGAGGACTAAAGGACTAGAATCTACCTCCAAAACTATGGCAAAGGGAACGTCCGAAGCTAAAGGAAGGAAACCACTCTACAGCTTGCTTCTGTCATGTACATCATGAACCTGCTCCGAGCTTCTCATCAAGGCTTTGAATCAGTCCACAGGAGTCCAAGGGGAACGAAGCCATTTCTCGTTTGCGCCTCCCCAATTCATCAGATCAGATCTGCTAGGTGCCCAGAGGGCACAGAGGTTCCCCAGCCCTGACCCGAGGTGGCAGCCCTTTCTAGGCCACTAAACTACTCCACACGCCTGCAGACTGATTTGAACTACCTGTGAAATATAAACCACTAGTCATGTATTCTACATGCATACATTCAAAGCTACCATTTAAAAAATAAACTGGAAAGTAGGGAAACCTAAAAAAGGGTACATTCCACTATCACACTATTATAAACATTATGTGTGTGTGTGTGTGTGTGTGTGTGTGTGTGTGTGTGTGTGTGTGTGTGTATGAGAGAGAGAGAGAGCACAGATAACCAAGATTTAAATAAGATGGTAAAAAACCAGGAAACGTGATTTAACCAAAAGAACTATAATAACCGCCCCAAGCTACACTACAAACAGACTCACTAGTATGGTCACCTAAGTTGCAACAAAACCAACCAACCAAAAATTCCCCCCCACTCACACAAATATCCCCCCAAATCTATACTAGAGTACGTGGCAATAATTAATATATTTCTATGGAAACTGTCTCATGCCTTATAAGCTCCTAATATAAAATCAAGGTCACTATGTGACTAACGATAGCGTTAGGAGGAAAGAAAACACTGGAAGGAAAATCTTCAGCCTCGGTTTTGGCTACCGCCTCATGTCAGCTCGGATACTTGATATCAGAGACAATGCTTTTGGCGCCTCGGGCCAGCAAGTCCCGTGTGTCCACCGGCCCAGGGCAGCTGAAGAGACCACTGCTCGAACACATTACGTGCGGTGGCGTGAAGCGTCTGACTTCCGAGTCTGAGTGTTTAGTTAGAACGACCGGTGAACATCTAGCTGGGCACAAGGACTGGCATCTGCCATCCAGCAGGCTCCCCTCCCCCAGCCCCCGCACGGACAGCAGTTACAACAGCAAAAGAAACAAAACAGTTTTTTTTTTGATGCTTTAGAGCCAACTGTGAAAGAGGTCAGCAATATATTAACAGCAGCAATGGACAAGGAAGAGCAAAATGTGGATGAAAAGCTCTGGCTGGACGTTTGTTCATCATTTTCTGTACTAGCCAGCACAGGGCAACTGGCTGACTGGGCGATTTCAGGCGTATCTGTCTCATCTCCTTAGATCCTTCACAGGCTGGGAATTCGGTCTACCTGAGGCTCTATAACCACGTCAGGAAGCTTTCTTTATCTAGCTTGGTGGCGGCCAGAACGGACTCCATGTCGTTGAGGATGTCGGAGCTCAAGGCCTCCTGCAGACTCGGCATCAGCTCCTCCCCTTCTATGTTCATGCCGTCGCCCTCCAGCGTGCCAAGGTCCACATTTGTCCCGGGAATGGCTTCCAGGTAGTCTGGGAAACGGTTCTGCTGGGAGGGCAGGGTGCTTTGGTTGATCGTGTCACCTGGTTGAGAGGGGGAGAGAGAGAGAGAACAGGGTCCTTTGGGGAAAGCATCCCAGGAACGCACAGACACGGGCAACGAAGAGCACTCCTGACCGGCCCACCCGCACGGACGCCCGGGATTGATTTTAGGCCGAACGACCGACACAAACAGGTAACGAAAAAACAACGCCACGTTTACTTTGGTTTCGGCGTGTGTTCGGATGTTCAACCAACAGCTTCACTACTCAAGATGTGCCCAGGACTAAAGGGAGCCATGAACAAATAAGAAGCCCTTGAAAAAGTAAGTGCAGCAGCAGGGGAGACAGAACAAGCACACGCCACGTCCCGATCCTACGGCTTCCCGATGCTCACCACAAAAACATCCACGTAAAAGCCAACGGCAGAGACCCGCCTCACCCTGACGTGCACTTTGGGAACCATGAGATTAAAAGGACTGCATGAGTCCTCTGTTCTACCCTTGGATTCATACTCTAAGAGCAAAGCGAGCTTCCCTGAAGTCCCTGAACAAATCCTCTTCTCGGCCTGGCTTCTAGGCTTCCCAGACTTACGTGGCCACTTTTTTGCACAGGGCAACATGAACACTCCTCAGAGCGTCAACAGGACATTCTCTTAGCAAAACTAACATAAGCCACTGAGGTGCAGGGAGATCTGAAGAAGACAGAAAGGAATTGAGGGGCTGAGCCAGGGTATTGGGCAGGGAATGGGTCTGAAGTGGCTTCCAAGGATGAGTTAAGATCTAGACAAGAGAGAGGATGGGGTGGTGTGGATGTTGGAAAAACACCGAAGTCCGGGGCTGGGGGAGAATCGGCACCAGGACTTGCCAGACCCTTTTGGAAGAGCAGTCCTCAGCTGCAGCGCTGGCGCACCGGAGAATGGCTTCATCTCCCTGCTAATTCCTGCGCTCCGGCAGGCGTCAAGGCCAGGGCAACGGTCGCTGGGGAAGCCCCGGGAGAAACGGGTCCGGGCTCATCCAGTGAGGCAGCTGTTTCTCAGCTCCTGCAAGACTTGTACCCATTCCAGCAACAGAGAAGGCGAACCCCACCACGAGCCTTTCCCACCTGGCTTCCTAAGCTCCAGAACACCCAAGCGGAACCAAAAACTCTCAGAGAAAAGGGGAAAGCAGACACCGAATTGCACACAGAAATCTCTCCCCCAAATTAAGGGTGCAGATCAACAATCACGAGAGCAACTCCTAATGAGGTTCCCGCCTGCCTTCCAAATGAACATGAGCACGCGAAAGTAAGTCCTCTTGTCAGTTTTATTCCAATAGAGCCAATATATCCAGCTCATGATATTTAAAAACAACGAAAAAGCCGGGCTCGGTGGCTCAGCCTGTCATCCCAGTGCTTTGGGAGGCTGAGGCGAGTGGACTGCCTGAGCCCGCGGGTTCGAGACCTACCCGGGCAACTTGGCAGGACCTCGTCTCTACAATAAATCAAAAATTAGCCGGGCATGGTAGCGCGCGCCTGTAGTTCCAGTTACTTGGAAGGCTGAGGCGGAGGGATGGCCGGAGCCCAGCGGGTCGAGGCTGCGGTGGCCGGGAGCGGCCGCTGCACTCCAGTCTGGGCGACAGTGAGACTCCAACTCAAAAATAAAAAAAAAATAAATAAAAACAACAAAAAGACTTAAATCACACATCGCCATATGGAAACAAAGTGAGCTCAATGCGAACAGAAGTGTGTGGGGCTTCAACCCGTTTTCTTCTAAATAACCTTTGCCCACCCCAGGGCGCCAGGCCGCGACTGCCCCTGCCCAAAGCCCGGCGGCCGAGAGGGGCAAGAACACCGACCCGTGTCCATCTCGTCCACGCTGTTCAGGAAGTCGTCGGGCGTGCGAGGGACGCTGTAGCTGCTCACGCTCAGGCCGCTGTCCGTGCTCTCATCTCGAGAGTGGTAGGTGCCACTGCAAAAAACGACAGTCAAAGACCAATGCGGACATCTCGGAAATCGATTCGAGCTAAGCATAAACACCCGCCGACTCCCACGTGGCCCCCCAAGAGGATCAGCCGAGATTCGAGATTCCTGCCCTGTGACGCTTGAAACCAGCAGGGCCGCGCGCTGGCGCTCATGGTGAAACAGATGAATTAATCCCCATCGAAGGGCAGCCCTGCGCTTCCAAGCCCTCTCCCAGGTTCTGTGCTTGATGCAATAAGGCAACAAAAAGGTACACAGTGCTAGTTTTCCTAACCGACAGGAAACTCTTGTGAAGTTTCTCTCTGTAAAGCCATCAGTGTCGGGGGAGGGGGCGGCCCCAGGTCTCAATTTCCCTGGTGGTGGTGGCACCAGTGGAGAGGTCAGAATGCAACTCCAGGTGGCTGGTGAACAGGTCTGCGCTAGACTCACATTAACTCCTAGCTCTCGCGCAGAGAGCTGAAGCCAAGGAAAAACATCAACCCAAAAGAAAGAACCGGAATTCCTTCCTGGACGGGGCCGAGCCGGAGGAGTTCCCGCCAACACCCATAGCTTGGTCTCCTTGCTCCTGTTTAAGGGGGTGGGGGGGCGGAGCTCCAAAGACCTCAGCACAAAATAAAAGGCCATTCAGCGCCAGGGAAGGAAAGATCAAAACCAAAGAAAAATGTCCCACTTTGACCCAAGTGTGGGAAATACCCTTAGAACATTATTTCCACGAATGGAACACACTCTCAAGTGGTAAAATACACAGACATCAGCCTGCATTGACTGTGTAATGTGCAGTTCTACCAACTCTAGAAAAGCTCATGGAGAAGTGTAAGACCAAGGCAGGCAATCGCCACCCTTCCTAGTGGTCTCTTGGAACACGGACGTGAACTTTTAACACTCCCCACAGCTAAAAGACTAAACAACAACAACTAAGCTTTATTATTTTATTTATTTATTTATTTATTTATTTTTTAGCAACTAAGCTTTAAAGCCAAGCTTTCACACTTGCTCAAGGCTAACAGCTCTCCCAGGAGCCCAAGCCTCTTCCCCGCAGCTCTCAAGGCACTTCCCTGTCCTCCCTCCCCCTCACTCCGAATATTGCGGCCACCCTGATGCTTCTGCCTGATTCTGGCAAGATTCAAAAGCTTTGCACAGACCCCTGAAAACACAAATCAGCCTCCCAGAGCATCTGCAGACCGCGGTCCTGCGTGAGGTGGCCTCAGGGTGTGGTCAGTCTGTGTCTGCCTACCCAGATCTGGGGCAAGCACCCGGTCCCAGTGTCACTCTCCTCCCACTCCTAGGCACGGGCACGCAGCAGACATCCGAATCCCTGACAGAGCAGCTGAGCGGACAGAGCTGTGCAGAGTTCACTCCAAACTGCAGGGGGGCGAGCGGGCATCCCTGAGGACGGGAGCTGCTCCCTGCAAGCCCCGCCTCCTGCAGGCGCCCCTCCACGAACAGTCACCGAGCACCTGCCGCTCTCCGACACCAGGCCTTGAGGAGATGGGGTAGCAGCCGGCCACGCTCTGCGAGAGGCTCACCTCCTCAGGGAGGGAACGGACAAACAGACGACTCATACCCGGGCTGTGTGTGCTCGGTGGGCAGGGAGCGCTCGGAGCGGGAGGGAGCGTGCAAGCCGGGTCGGCTTCACTGAGGGGACACACCCGAGCTGGCCTGGAAGGACGTCAAGAGCGAGAGGGAGGTAAGCTCACAATGATGCACCTGCACCGTGAGCAAGAGTTGCTGGAGGAAAAGCAGCCGGGAGCTCCAGGAATGCGTGTCAATAAAACAGCAAACAACAGGGAAACCACCAAGAGTTTTTTTAGGCTGGGCGTAGGGTTCACGCCTGTTATCCCAGTCTTGTGGGAGGTGGAGGAAGGAGGATCACTAGAGCCCAGGAGTTCAAGGCCAGTCTGGGCAGCAACGTAAGATCTCATCTCTACAAAAATTAAGAAAAAAATTGGCTGGGTGTGCATCCGTAGCTCCAGCTACTTGGAAGGTTGATTCAGGGTGACTGCTTGAGCCCAGGAGTTGGAGGCTGTGGTGAGGCATGATTGTGCCACTGCGGTCCAGCCTAGGCAACAGAGTGAGACTCTGACTCACAAAAAAAAAAGAAAAAGAAAAAGAAAAATTACAAGCCGGGCTCGGTGGCTCAGCCTGTAGTCCCACCCCTTGGGAGGCTGAGGTGAGTGGATTGCCTGAGCCCGCGGGTTCGAGACCCACCTGGGCAGGCGAGACCTCATCTCTACAATAAATCAAAAAATCAGCCGGGCGTGGTAGCACACGCCTGTAGTTCCAGCTACTTGGAAGGTTGAGGCGGAAGGATCAACGGAGCCCAGCAGGTCGAGGCTGCGGTGGCCGGGAGCGGCTACTGCGCTCCAGTCTGGGCGACAGAGTGAGACTCCAACTCAAAAAAACAAAAAACAACAAAAAAAAAATTACAGACGGTCTGCAAAATCAAACCTCCCACCTAGGCCACTAGCACCAATCTTAAGACTGAGTGAAGAAACTCAGTTGCACTAAATATCTTTTTAGCAGGGTAAGATTTCTTTTTAATTGGAATCATGAAGCTTCCTGTTGAGTCGGTGAGGATTGAAGGGTAGCAGAGAAACTTCCCCAAACCACATGACCTTTCAGTATTTCAAAAGGTGTTTTGCTTAAAATTGGTCAGAATCAAAAGCACTGAGTATGTTTTAAAATTAAGACTCCATAGGTACTTAGGTACTTTGCAATCTGGAAGAATGTTAATTAAATCTTACTTTTTTTTTTTTTTGAGTTGGAGTCTCACTCTGTCGCCCAGACTGCAGTTCAGTGGCACTTTCCCAGCCACCACAACCTCGACCTGCTGGGCTTCGGCCATCCTTCCGCCTCAGCCTTCCGAGTAGCTGCAACTATAGGCACACGCTGCCACGCCTGGCTAATTTTTTATTTATTTTAGAGACGAGGTCTTGCCAAGTTGCCCAGGTGGGTCTCGAACCCACAGGCTCAGGCAATCCATTCGCCTCGGCCTCCCAAAGTGCTGAGATCACAGGCTCAGCCACCGAGCCCGGCCCGAAATCTGAATCCTAAATGGCTCTCCAGGCAAGAGCGACCTGTTTCCGCTCAGTTTCCGACACAGCATTTGACGCAGCACTGCCATCCGCCGTACTGCCATCCACCACAATCCCAAGATCTGTGAAAACTCACTAAGAAGCACCAGAAGGCTGATGTTGGTGCACAGTGCCCTTCATCTCAACGCGTTCTGGGAAGAGATGCAACCTTACGTTTTCTCTCCTTGAACGACAGCCCGGGAGCACATGAGGCCCTTCCAGGGCCGCTGGGTGAAACCTCTCGGGCTGAACAGCTATGAGGAAAATTCCTTCCAGCGCAACCCTGAGCAGGTCTGAGATGCTGCTCACTTGCTTTCACAGAAAGGCCTTCGCACGTTCCTTCACGACTCCGACACCGTAAGTGACTGTTTGCCAGCAGTCCAGGCAGAAGCAAACAGCCCTGACTCTGAACGAGCCTCCCTCGGCAAATCTGAACAGCTCACTTCCTGTCACAGGAGATGCTGTCCACCCCCCCTTTACCGTCCTTGCCACTTAAGGAGGCTCATTTACAGCGAGGGTTCCTGGCCCACGCGGAGGCTCAAAACAGCCGGCGGCGAACGCTCAGCAGAAAGGCCTTACAGTGACGAGCTTTGTAAGACACTGGCCAGCAGCCACGGTCACCAACCTGTTGAGAAAGGGGTCTGAGCTATTGGTCGTCATTGTTCTCAATTCCTGAGACATCCCGGGAGAAGACACTGGATTTTGAGTCCCACCATCCTGCTCCAGTGTTGGTAACTGGCTCCGGAGAGCTAACTCCTAGTTTTCAAAAAAACAAACAAGAAGAATCAATCTACTGATGAACACAGTTACCATTAGGTTAAAGAAGTAAAACGCACATTAGGGTAATCACTTAACAGTGGTACAATTCCCCATCAGAAAGACCAAGTTCTTCGATTTATTTCAAGTGATTAAAAAGTAAGTGCCATACATTGAAAGTCTGTCTAGTTGTATGAACCCCAAACAACTGAGTTTCTGAGTTGGCCACTGAGCTTCATTTCCTCATCTTCCTTACTCGGGAAGATACCGCCCAGTCCTCCTACGGGTTCGAATGGCAAGGCTGGTCTTTAAGAAATAACCCTCCAAGTTCCTTTTTTACTCACCAACTCTCCCATGGTTTTGTGCGCTTGGCAGCAGCAGTGAGAACAAAGACGCAGGGTTCAGGCCCCTGGCAACTCCCTGTGAGACCCCAGCCCTCCCCTCCGCCCAGCACTGCTTTCCACTGTGCTGTCAAGCGTCTCATTTTGACTTCAAGTGTTTTTCTCTCCTGAGCTGGACAGAGTATGTTCTACCCTCTAACAGGGAGAGGAGGAAAAAGAAAACAAGACAACAGAAGCAAACACAAACCCAAGGTTTCTGTGTCACAACCGCAATATTTAAACGGGGTAAAGCTTCCTCAGAGACACCAGGCAGTTCTCAATGGGACTCTCCCTGGAAGCCTGAGCCACTCCGGTTCTCGAAGGCCTGTCCCCAGCAGAACCCAGCTCAGTCTCGATGTGCTCGGGACACCACAGCCAGCCCGTCGCACCCTGACAGGCCCTCAGCCTCACACCCTCTGCCCCGCCCTCCCAAACAACCCCACGGAGCCTCTCAGCAGCCACAGACATCATCTTTGCTAGAGTGTCACGCCCCCCACTCTGGGTTTGATCTGGGATATACACGGCCTCTCGCCACAGAGGGCACTAGCCTGTCCCCACCACCACGCCGCTCTGCTGAGCAAGTCGGCCCACTGAGGCACGCCTCCGTCTCCACACCCTCACTTCCACCCTCACCAGGGAGTCTGGGATGAAGAAATGTCTCCTGGCTCTACAACGTCACTTCTAAGCTGCAATTCTCCCTCATGCCTTCTGGACACACTGTCCTTGAAGTCAAGGCTTCTTAAACCCCAGGACCACGAGAACGCTGGGCGGAGAGGTGGGGAACAGAATGGCAGCTTCATTTTGCTGACATTCACATTTTCTTCGGTGATGAACGGAGGCAGCAGAGGCTCATATTCACTGCGCCTCTAACTTTTTTCATCAGTGGAAGATACGGCTACCTTCCGATCTCGTTGCGGTTGTAGGAAACGTCGTGAAATACTATTTATGATCATCACTGTTTCAATATCACAGTAGCTGTAAGACATGCTTCCAGATCTTGTTATTCACACATTAATAAAGAGGCAAGTTATATTACAAGGTTGCACTTAATATTTTGATAAAGTTCCTTTTCTTTGTAATCCCAGACATCAAAAAAACCCCAGGATTCTGAGAAGCCTCAGTCAAATGCCAAAGAAGCGTGTGTCCCTTTCCCTCGGGTTAACAGCCTGTTGTGCACAACTGTTACTCTCCCTCTTACAAGGGGAGAATTCCGGAGCTTTGTCACTCTGGGTAGTCCATGCCTCCTGGTATATTTCAGGATTAAGTGACAACTCACGTCACCTGACAGATTCTTGAACGTTCTGGATTCCAACTGAACACACTTCGACCTACCTCAGTCACCCACCTGCACAGCCACCAAGATCTTATTCGGAATTAAATCCCCTCTTAAGTAGCGTTTGGGACAACGGTCAGTGCGTTGCTTCACTACAACCGTCAACGTCCGTGTACAAAACTCGCAGAATAACCTATTGCTGAAATGCCTGTATTTCTTCATGTTGCAATGATCACTGACCACTGTGTCACAGTATTTCCGCCACCAGCGCCTTTGGTGGCAATCTGGAACCGGCTTGGAGATTTCGCTCAGTCTTCCACGCACGCATCCCGCTTTCTTCCACACGTGTCTTCCTCACAGCTCCTGCAGGGCCTCTCGCCTACGCCCCCGGCTCGCAGAGACTCCAGGCCCTCCTCTCCTCACCACTCCAGCATGTGGTTCCCTTCTGGTCTCTGACTTTTCTCTCCTTCCTTAAGCTTGAACTCATGACTGATCACTTGAAATACGCACACGCACGTTTCAGATTCAACCCAGCAAATCCCAACCCTGAGTCAAAGCTAGGGTGTGCTTGTTTCAGATTTCCACTGAGATTGCCGAGAAGCGCTAGGGAAACAAAGTCACACAAGTCTCCAGAACGTGAGCATCACAAATGAATAGTTGCTGGCCTTGGAGGGCCCTGGGACCCCTCACTGTCTCCTCTTGGAGGGGGGTGTGTTTGGTCTTGTCCGTGGCCAGTTCTTTCTCACAACCTCAAGGTCACGACTCCAAACACGGCTCACTGGCTCAAGTCCCTATTCCGTCACACCCATTTCTATCCCTTTCCCACGTAAACACCAACATCAAGGGCGTTGGGTGGAGCCTGGTTTTCTGGCTCCTCCTGCCGCCTCTGTCTGTCCCGCTACACAGTGTCTTCATTCCCAGGCATCTCGGTCACTTTCCTTCCTGTTCTACACAACGAGCTTGTTTTCCCTCTTCCTGTGAAAGGCCAACCCATCCTCCCAGTGTTTCTGGGAGTTTCTACTATCCATTTTCTGTCCTCTTCTCTGGCCCCTCCCGTTCTCATCTTGCAACATCAGAAGTGACTTTAAAACCCCAAGAGGAGCCAGGCTCGGTGGCTCAGCCTGTCATTCCATGCTTTGGGAGGCTGAGGTGAGTGGTTTGCCTGAGCCCGTGGGTTTGAGACCTGCCTGGGCAACTTGGCGAGACCTCATCTCTATGATAAATCAAAAAATTAGTCGGGTGTGGTAGTGCCTGCCTGTAGTTCCAGGTACTGGAAGGCTGAGGCGGAAGGATCGCTGGAGCCCAGCAGGAGAGGCTGCGGTGGCTGGGAGCGGCCACTGCACTCCAGTCTGGGTGACAGAGTGAGACTCCGACTCAAAATAAAATAAAATAAAATAAAAATTAAAAAAATAAAAAACAAAAAAACAACCCCAAGAGCGATGGCCTGCAGGTCTGTGGACGACACACCCTGTGTCCCGTCTTTCTAGAGGCCGGGTCCATCGCAAACACCGGTCTTCCCATTCTTTAAGAGCTAGCAAGGCACCTTTTCGAGGTAACGCTCTAAGATGAGGCTGCCTTCAGCCTGAAAATACACAAGACACGGGTCATGTTTTTAAAACCCTGGGAGTAACTGACACGTTCACAGCACTCGTCACATGACACTGTAATCATTTATTTCCTCTGTGCCCCCCAAGGGCACAGAAATGGCTTGTTTTGGAGCATAAAACTCCATACTGCTCTTAAAATACGAGGATGTATTTAGCAATAAACTTTAAATGAGTAAGGTCATAGGTACAGGCTCCAGAGGAAGCCGACACCTGGGCAGTGTGTGAGAGCACCCTGGTTTGCTTTTTATCCAAGCACGCTGACCGTCCACAGGCCTTGGTTTCACTCCTTGCAGCACAAGACACATACATGACACTAAGCCCCAAATCATGCCTAAAATAACTGAATTGGCTAACATTCTCATACTGTTTCCATAACTTTTCATTTTAGCCCCTTTTGGTTGTATGAGGTTAAAACTAACCTCACATGCAGGCTAGACTCACGTGCATTCACCACTTGGGATTTTGCCCCCATGCTTGTACAAAGCTGTCACGTTTCTGGCTTTGTGCTTGGACGACTGGATTTCTACTCTCAGTAGATACTGTAGAGTCAACGCTCCACACTTATGTAGAAAGGAGACTCAGAGATGTGAGCAAGAGGGAAGATTATCCCAGTTACCTACGTGGACTCAACCAACTGTGGATGGAAATATTGGAGGAAAAAAAATGAGTGGCTGTGTCTGTACTGAACATATACAGACCCATTTTCTTGTCATTATTCCCAATACAGGTAACTATAGTTATACAGTGCAACAACTATTCACACAGCATTTATATTATATCAGGTATTATTAGTAATCTAGAGATGATTTGAAGTATACAAAAGGATGTGTAGGCTGTATGCAAATACTGTGTGCCTGCCTATCTACCTACCTACCTATCTTGAGTTGGAGTCTTACTCCGTCGCCCAGGCTGGAGGGCAGTGGCATGCTTGTGGCTACCCCGCGTCAACCTGCTGGGCTCTGGTGATCCTTCCACCTCAGCCTTCCAAGTAGACAGAACTACAGGCTACCACGCCTGGCTAATTTTCATTTATTGTAGAGCTGAGGTCTCGCCAAGTTGCCCGGGCTGGTCTCAAACCCATGGGCTCAGGCAATCCCCTCGCCTCGGCCTCTCAAAGGGCTGGGATCACAGGCTTGAGCTACTGCGCCCGGCCAGTGTGCGCCATTTTATATAAACGACTTGAGCATCTATGAAATGCATCTGTGAGCGTTTCTGGAACCAATGCCCCAAGGGACAACCGTATAACGTAATAAGGCCAATGATACAAATAGTAGATACACAGATCACAGACAGCACACTCAAGGTATACATACTCCACCGAGTTTGGAAGGTTCCAGTTACAGCAAACGGAACAAAACCGTCAGATGCCCTAAGTGATTTTTGAAAAGTTTTACTGATGTTTACTTGATGCACAATAAACTATACATAAAGTGCACATTTTGATGAGCTTTGAAATGTGTGTACAAATGTGAAACGACCACTACAATCAAGATAATCACCCCAAAACTCTCTCCTGCTACTTCTTACATCCCCTACTCTCAACCCTCAGAAGTGAATGATCTGCTTTTTGTCATTACAGATTCGTTGGAATTTTACAATTTTTAATAAATGGTCAGGAGTGGTGACTCTCACTTGTAATCTCTGCTGAGAAAAAGGCAGCAGAAGTAGTCAATAGGAAGCACGTAGACAATAGGAAGCACGTAGAGTATTTGTAGGTTTTTGCATTTTGAGGGTAGCCAA